ATAAACCAGTTTTATTAAGTGAGGACTTGTGTCGCTAAAGTTTCGTCGGAACGAAGTTAAGTTACGGAAAGTTAATTAACGAACGGAGACGTAACAATATTCAAAACATCAACCAACCTTGCAGACTGTAAAAAAAGAGTTGTACAATGAATGAAGTGCAAAAACCACTGTAAAAAAGAACACATGTATTGAAAATTATATAGTTGAAGAGAATTGTAGAGATTTTAGATAAAAATGCAGATTATAAACGGCTAAGATTTATCTGGTAAGTCTTATACGTTATACAAAAATAAAAGCCCCATTGCCAGACAATGTCGTATCAATGCCTGGCATCAGGACAGTAAATAACATCTCTCTAGATAATACAAATGGGGAAACGTTGCTAGTATATATGTACATTGATAATATTCCTATCTGGAAGAAAAGGCCATGATGCATGAGCGAAAATCTCAAATTCTCGAACTTTTGGGTAAAGCAGCATACAAATATCATAGTAATAGAGACCTGACGACACTGCCAAATGAATCATGGACACGCCTATTGTCCTTAGATGTCTGCGCTATCTCTTTTCTGTAAATGGAACTACAGGAACTACTGGTGTACTATATCCAGGACACTAGGCATAAATTGGTTAATGATTACTCTATACTAAATTTGAGCAAGTACTGACTTTCTTTCTTATAAAATTGAAAGGCCACCGCTTCAAAGTTTTGAAAAAACGAATGTAATGAATTATAAGTTTATTTCCTTATATTAAATCTTATTAATAAAAATAGGGAGGATTCTGCAGTTCTGGTTTTTTCCCGATATTTATTTTAGATAGTGCTTTTTTGTGACTTCTTTATATTTTATGAATTTACATAATTTTGTGATTCAAAATTATATGAAAATAGAATGCTGCATGATTTTCTATATTGAAAACTACAATCAACCAATCAACAAAATGTTGTAATTCATGAACAATGTCTTAATATGTAGTAAAATAATATAGTAATATTACTATGTTATTAAAGTAATCATATCGTGACATGGATATAAGTTTTGTTTAAGAAGATTTAAGACATATACTTTTCTTTCTATTATGTTTTAAATATATTTTTACCACTAGAAGCCCCGTACATTTCCGCAGTACTCTTAGCAGAACTATACCTGAGAGTTGAGACCAGATAGCTTTTCATTTTATTTAACTAAGCTACACGAACATTAATTCTTTTTTTTTTTACTTATATTTGAATATTACAACCTATTCTGATAACAAGGGTTGAAATAATTTAATCTGGGCAAAATTTTGACATTCTTTTTTATTTATTCAAGGACTAATTCAAATCACAAGTTAAATGCATTTTACCAGGTGAGAAGTTTGTTTGGTTTGAATTTCGCGCAAAGCTACACGAGAGTTATCTGCGTTAGCCGTCCCTAATTTAGCAGTGAAAGACTAGAAGAAAGGCAGCTAGTCATCACCACCCAACGCTAACTCTTGGGCAACTCTTTTATCTACGAATAGTAGGATTGACCGTAGCGTTATAACGCCCACACGGCTGAAAGAACGAACATGTTTGGTAGGACGGGGATTCGAATCAAGCGCCCTAACCATCTGGCCATTCGGGCCCAGGTGAAAAAGTATAACACCACTCGGAGAACTCTAAACATGTTATGCTAGTGGTATTGTCATATAAGCAACAAAATATACGACTTTATTATTAACATTAACGGTTTAAATCATTAATTTAAAAATTAGTGAAACATGATAACATAAATTAAAGCAAACGTGAATTCACCAAAAGAAATCTTGCGTTACTAATGCATTATATCTTTTGGGGTACGTTACTTGTTATCTGGACAATAGTACAAGTGTGGACTTGGTTTACTCAGATTTGCAAAACGCAATTGATAACGTGCAACACAGAAAATTAGCTAAAACAATCACATCGGTAAGGGTAGGTGAAAGGCTAGTTAATTGAACTGTTGGGTGGGAAAATGCTAAAAGTTGTTATTGACGGAGTTTAGTCAAAATGTTGCTAATGGGGTGCTCAGTGGTCAGGAGCAGAGCTAAGGCGATGCATTTTCTTATTTACATTAATGATGTTTTTAGGGACAAAAGTATTAAATTTTGGTGATTGCATTAAACTTGTAATTATTTATTATCAGTATTGAAGATGCTGAGGCATAACATAATGGCTTAGATAATTTGGTAAGTTAGCTAAATATTTTTCACTTGACCTTTAAGAAGAAATAGTAGGCGAAGGTTACTGCATTTGGATTATAGTAGCTTGTATCAGATATTAAATATAGGATAGAGCACAATCAAAAGCGTGACTAAAGAAAAGTATCTTGCCATAGTGGTGGATAAGTCACTCAAGCTACTGAAGCAGTGCTATATCGCTAGTGGTAAAGCTAACAGAATTTCGAGATGTATTTATGGTTATATTGATTACAGTCAAAAGAAGTAATTATTATTCTATACAGATCATTAATTAGGCCTAAGTTCAATTTATTGTGTATGGTTTTGGTCTTTTTATTTAAGAAAAGTTATACCGGTTGTTGACTGATTAGAAAGAGTTTAGAGGAAGACTACTATAGGATTATTCCGGGGACTGAAAAGCTATCTTACAGGGATAAGTTAAGATCTCTTGACTTAATTTTTCTTCAGAAAACCCAGATAAGAGGTGTCATTATTCTATTCACCATTATCCAAGGGGGGAATAGTCGGCACAATAAATCCTTTTGATTTTTGTATGTTATATTTTGAAGAAAGTTGGAAGATAAAATTATTAATTTAAGATTTTGAAAAGACAGGCTAGGCCCCACTTAAGAGAGTTGTATTTTCTAGCATGGTGATTGTCTTATAAAATGAGTTTCTGTCTGTAGTAGTGGAAGCCGGTCTTTTTACAGACGTTTTAGAGAGAATAGATGATTTTCTCGAAAATAAAGAATCAGAGATTTAAAATTTTTATCATCTCAAAGTTATGTGCGCAAAGAGAGCCTGGAAAGGCCAAAAGGTTCTTTGCTGTCTGTATTTTACGCAAATACAGACTTATAGTGCAAATCAGTGTAATAGGATACTGCGCTCCGTCCATCACGGGTAATGGAACCGCTGACCCACTGAGAGACGTTACGTCTATTAACGAGTGAATATTTTAAGCATTATAGATTTTAAGTTAATCTATGTCTTTTCGTCTACAAAATGACATTAAGTTCTTTTTTTGTTTACATTTTGTAACATTTTCAGTGTGTTTCTTTCGAGATATTTTTTACATATTACTCTATAATTTATAAATATGCGTTAATAAGATATTATATCACCATCTAGTGAGATATTTGTAAAATACATTTATGCTTTTGCACGAGTAGACAGTTTGGAAATTACGTTCTTACAATATAACATTATAAGTATATGGTGTGTTTAAACTTGTAATTATAGTAAATTAATACATTATATCTAGTCATGTAGATTGTAGTATGAAATGATAGCACTTTTAAAATAGAACGACATAGGTTTAAGTATGATTTAAAATGAAAATGAAGAAGTTGCTGCTAATGACAGAACTTGGAAGTTACCGATGATGCGATAGCCGATAGGCCTAGTAATAAGTAGTATAGCTAATAGTAATAGTACTATTATAATAATAGTATATTATTTAGTATTAGTACTATTATAATAATAGTATATTATTTAGTATTAGTAATAGAACTATATAATAATAGTATATTATATAGTATTAGTAATAGAACTATATAATAATAGTATATTATATAGTATTAGTAATAGAACTATATAATAATAATATATAATATTAGTAATTACTGTAGGATGCCATGTCGATGGTTTATTCAATTATTGGTTCAAAAGTTTGTCAGTCCGAACGGTTTCAAGTAATATGATTATGACTAGCACAGTAGCAGTAGCAATGAACGAAACAGCAGAAAATCTTTGCTAATGGAAGGATCGTGCCAGTCTTTTCTGTTTTAACTTATCTAGTTATCTCTTTATCTTCACGAAAATATACAAGTAAAAAACAAAAACTTCATATTATGTAAGACTCAAGTTCTACCATAACGAGCATAGCAACAGAAAAATTATTTAAATACCATTTACTTATTTATTTTTAGGTTAAACTAGACTAAATTACAAGATTTTCTTGCTCAATCCTCCATTCAGGTTGTGTTTATGGGCTTTTTAGATCAATGAACATTCTGACCATATATATGAATGGTGATAATATGGTGAACAGGAAGTGTGATGAATTGATTGTAATGGCCTGGTGGATTGTGTTGACTCAACGACCACAATCACACACTTCAATCTAAGCCTTTCTCAACAGTGAATGTATTATCTGTTATATATCAGTGTCTGTTTAAGTTTGTGCACATGTATCCAACAACAGTGCTGAGCATTTAACTCAAGGATGATAAAATTGATTGTGTACAATGCTGGCTTAAGTCTCTGTGGGGCTTGTAGCATTTTTAGAAGACGGGGCCCCCTAGCTGGCAGAAAATATGTTCTTTACAGTCATTTTGAGTTTTGTCACATTTTGTTTTTTTCTTTCTCTCAATTCATCCAAGCAATGTGCGTGTTTAGACTCGGACAGGACCAAAACTGCTGACTGTTGGTGTGAAGTCCTTGGAATTTTTGTTGCTATAGCTGTTTTCTTTCATCTTTTGGAAAACTAAACACTAACATGTATGATGTAACCCTATAATTATTCTTACAGCCTGGATCAAAGCACTTTGACTATTATTACATTATATAATGCTGCTTACCAACTAAAGATAACTTCTGTTAGTTTAATACAAAATAAAGTTTATTTACAATTTCTATGATTAAAAAATATTAATACATTAAAAGATAAAGTAGGCATACATTTGCACTTCCTTTGGGCTTCTTACAACACACTTTTTCTCATGCGTTCTTAGGCTTTGATTACATGTACACTAAGCTGACAACAACAAATTGTAGGACAATTTGTATCAGTAAGTTTACAAGCAGTATACTAAGCTGATTATAACACAGTGATTTGATAATCTTAAGTTCAATTCCTATTTCCAATAAACTTACTAGTTTTTTTTTGTTATGGCAAAGCTACTAAGACTGTCTGCTGTTGCCTCAAATGTTGAACTGCTGACTAGAAAGCAGCTGTCTGCCATCAATTTTATTTTTGGTCTGCTAACTAGCAAAAAGGCAATTGTCTGGCAGAATCCACCACAAACTATTTTTTTTTTTTGAATTGCTGACTAGAGAGAAGGCAGTACCTGCTGCCAACTTTGTTTTTTCTTGTACATATCATGGTTTGAAGAGCACTGTTAAAATTGATGTAATCAATTAATGGGGCTATCAATTAATTGATTAGAAAATACCACTAATTGCCCAGCTCTGAAACTATCTCTGTGACATCAGGCCTCGACAAATTCTGAGCACCAGATTGCCATGGTAACTAAAAAATTCATTATGCCATCTAATATTTTTTCCCATTTTATTTGTGTGTAGGAGTGTGCTAAATAGAACTCGAATCTAGAACAGTTATGGACTCTTGGAAGTCCAGAACTATTTTCATGTTCTTTGAGTCCGAAATTAAACTTTGTTTCTAGGATTTTAATGGCAGATTCAGCACTTCTACATGTTTTTCCAGGAATGAAGCACTGCAGTTGCACTATGTGTTACTATTTTCACACTATTTTGTTTTTCTTCTTTCTTTCAATTCATCCAATCAGTGTGCATGTTTAGACTCAGGCAGGACCAAAAGCAGTTAGTTTAGGCAATATTATCAAGTGGTTCATGATGTTAGAAAAACATATAGGTTCTAGAAGTCTTGATAGAAATGAATAAAAACCCTATAACCCGAGCATTTTCGAAAGGTGGACCTTTCTTCTTCGGGGGCAAATGTAATGGTTTTTATTCATTTCTTTCAAGTGGTTGTTGATATCATGATCATTAGCATGTACTTGTTGCTCTGAAAGTAAATACATATAGCCCCTATTTCCCAATACAAACAGTAGTAAGTTAGGCACACAAAAAGGCCTTTGCTTATCGTTGTAAAGTGTTATATTCTGAAAAAAAACCTGCTTGGCCTATCAATACTGCAGTAATTAATTTTATTTTACTTTCATTGATTGCAAGAATCCACTTAAGTTATAGTTATTTGGTCTACTATTTTAATTTCACATATTCAAGTTTAACTTTAATATATGTTACATAATAAAGTTTTATAATGAACCCTTGTTTTTTAGTGTAAATCTGTATATCTCATACCTTAACCACACAACTGACTCAAAATATATTCCATAACTTTTCTATACTGGACCTGGCTTCTAAGTTTTGGGGCTGGCTTCTAGATCTGGAAATATTTCTGGAGGCTTAGTATACATGGTTTAGGAGTTTGCCTAGTATATGATTGGGTTGTCAGCACAAGGTTGCTGAAACATGTACCATTGAAATAACATTAATGTAATGGTTTAAACTTAGGTTCTGGTAATTTTTTGAAACATTTTTGCCTATCAGACCTGGAATTTATATTATTGACTTGGTTAGGTAAAAAAAACACATTGAAAAACAAAAAACCAGTAGTAATCTGATTCAAATTAATCTAGTTCTTTGTGCAAGACAATTCTAGGGTAAATCCTATATCCTTGAGAAGTTTTTTTATATTCTTTATGAGGATAAAGGAAGCTACTCTCTTGAAGGATCAAAAACTATTGTCTCAACAAATTAGAAATTGTAAAAGCTTTTCAAGTTGTAGGACTTTGCCCTAAAATTTACTTGTAGAAAAATTATAATTGAATTTTGTAACTTCTATTTTTTAAAGAAATTATTTATTACTAACCTTTAAATGTAAAAATTTCTGTCACTTTTACACACATACAAAAACTATACACAGTCTTGTAGTAAATTAAAGAAGACTCAGATATATGCCTCAAAATTGGTGCTTTTGGAAAATTTGAAAGATTTTAGTAAGTAAAAATCAGCAACTCAAGAAGAAGAAGAAATGGAGCCATTTACAATACTGCATAAGATGCTTGGAAAAAATACTCTACCATGACAGAAATGTGGACAGCAACTGACAAAGAAACAGTTTATATTACACATCAACTTTTAATGGAGTATAAAAACTACTGTTTCAGAAATATGTCTCTAGATTATTACTTTTTAAAGTTGTATTATTAGTAAATAGTTATCAGCACTTAGTCATTATATTATCGTGGATAGATAGGTAGTTTAAGACCTTTAGCGTGATTGAAATGTGTGTCTAAATTTTACATTAGACTTTGCAGTATGTTTTAGACACTTATTAATTAGGTAAGAGTTTCTGAAACAAAACCCCCCTTTTTTTTCCATCAGACTTGAGAAATGAGTATATTTGGTACAAGCACTAATGCTTTTGGTGGGACTGGTGGCAGTGTGTTTGGTTCCACTACAGCAGGCTCACACAATCCAATGAAAGATTATGAAGTTGTTTCACCACCAGATGATTCAGTTAGCAGTTTAGCATTTAGCCCTGCTTCTATACAAATGAATTTCTTGATTGCAGGCAGCTGGGACAACCAGGTAAATCAATTTTTATGTTGACTGATTTTATTGTTTGTTTAAACATATAGCATTTTGTTTGTGTTTATACACATATTTATGGTTGGTGTGAATCAGTGGAATATATGAACATCAAGACCTAAGAAATCAAGCTGACAAAAGACTAATCTGCCTATTAAGGTGATCCCATCATTCTTCTAAAAATGATCAAAGCATCAAAATCAAACTAAATATTATGCTTTTATTGAAATGTTAAACACTTGTTGTATAGGGATATGGTGGGTTATGCTTAGTTTTGGTTTTGATCCATTTGTTGATTGTTGTGGTGGACAAAGAGACTGTGATGACTTATATGGCTTTCTATAAGTTTTGTCTACTTTAGGTTTAACATATGTTGAGAGTTTTCAAATGTCTTATTTTATTTTTCTCTAGGTCAGATGTTGGGAAGTTCAAAATACGGGACAAACTATACCAAAAGCTCAGCAGACACATCAAGGCCCTGTTCTTGATGTAGCGTGGAGTGATGTGAGTTAAAAATTAAGTATAGTCTGCAGTTAGATTTCAGACAGTTAGCTCATTACATATAGGTATTTTTAGATATTTAAGAAATATTTCTGGTTCTTGTCTGAGAACATTTTTTTATAGAGAATGTTCATAACTTATAATACCAAGTAATATGGAAAACAATATATTTGAGAGTTAAACCCTTTCTCACCTCATTGTCTAAATAATGTCATGCATAACAAGTTGCATATATTATTTTCACAGTAAATGTGGTGAAACTTTCAATTCTCAGGCCTCAACTTTAATTATTGAAGATACCAGCAAATGGTTACTAGTTATTTTTTCCCCAGTAGCAAGTATGGGGCTACTAATAGTCACAATATTATTCTTTTCTAAAATTGACTAACTATCAAATGTATATAAATATGTACATGTCCTATTTATTTGTATAAATGTTCTGTATAATGTTATATTTTTCAAACATCAAACTTATCTTAATTATATGTAACAGTGTTTTTATTCTTACTGTTTGCTAGTTTTAGTTTCAAACCCTGTTTGTGAAAAATAGTCAATATTTTTAGGACAGTAAAATATAGAAACTTAACTAATTATGTATTTGAAAAAACAGGGATTTGAACATTGTCAAAGCCTCGTAGATTAAAATGTTGCCAGATTAAGTCAGCTATAAATTTTCTTTTTCATCCAATTTTAAAATCTTAATAAATAGTCAAGAAGATATTAACATTATCTAGTCAGTGTTGTTATAAGTTAATGTCTATAGTTATTATTCTTGAAAATAGTTTAAATCTATAAGTAAATCTTAAAAGGTATTGTAGTTATAACATTTTTTGGGATTATTTTATTAGAGGTTATATATTAAAGTCAGAAGTTACCAAAGTAAATTTAAATTGTAAAATATGAATAATATACTTTTGTTCAGGTTTACTACATTAAAATGAGTTTTCTTACTCAGGATTGGTCGGAGTATGTCTTAATAACAGCTTGGGGTGAACATTGCACTATTAGTTTATAAGTCAATTAGGAAATATAGAGTATGATCAGATAACAGTGTCAAAACATGAAAAGATTAACAAGTTTCATCTTTATGTTATTAACTAATTGGTTTTTCTATGCATTAATCAGTTAAAAATTATTTTTGAACATTAGAGAAATACATTTTCTAATTCATATGGATATCATCCATTTTATTCTACAAGTATGGTTTTATAACTATTGGACTTTCACGTGGTGAATTAAAGGCTGTGATGTGAAATGGCCATATATTTTAACTAGGATTACTATGATTTGAGTATTTGGTTATTCTGTTTTATGAATTAAAACTAGAATTACTTTTTAATAAATAAGCAAATGCAAAAACTTTTAAATAAATTTGTAAAGCAACAAGTCGTGGATAAGACATCAGTTTGTGCTGAAAATCTTAGTGTAGTGGCTAGAGAATTATGGAATATACCACATCATTAAAAGTTTTAGATTTTAATCATAAACACAACAAAAAAAGTTTTTTTTATATTTTCTTACTAAAATTTAAGGGCTATTCAGTATTCATTATTACATAATGTAGTAAGCAAGATGTGTCGAATCTTGTCTAATCAGCAGTTCTGTTTTGGATAAATCTGAGGAACTTTTGATCATATCTCTTAACTTCTAACATAATTGTTTTCCTTTTTCACTTTTAAATGTGTTAATGACTTGTGTATTAGATATGCAAGAGATACAGTGTTCTGTTAACTAAGCCCAATTAGAAGTTTGGAGTTTAAAAATTTGTACTGTTCAAGTCTTGATACTTTATCTTCTCTTGTTCTTTATGTCTTTAGGATGGTTCAAAGGTCTTCACAGCCTCATGTGATAAAAGTGTTAAAATGTGGGACCTGAACAGTAACCAGGCCATCCAAGTTGCTCAGGTATTTTATAAATTTTTGTGTAGATTTTATTTATCATATAAAAGAAAATTATGTAAATGGTCTGTTTTCTACACTCTCCTTATAAATTTATGCTTTATTTTTCTTTGTGTTTGCTAAAGGTACTCTAAATTTTACAAACTTCAACTGTGTGTAATCTAACCCAATACTTGTAATAACACATGACTATAGTGGAGTAGAGGTACAAAACTTTTAACCCCCAAATTACTAGTTTCTTTTGATACCATTCACTATTGGTGGGGTCAGGGTTTGTAGCTACAGTGGGTGGAGCGAATCATTTTGCCTGGCCAACACTCCTGTGCAATGTGCCTACTGCTGCTTGACACTAGATATCACAGAGAAAAAGGTCCACCAGAAGCATGAAAAGTATCTTTGTTGATGTTGCAGTACAGCTTACTTTGCAATTAGTTTGTTAGAAACAAATGCTTTTCCTGAAAAGTCACAAAGCAAATAACTTTCCTGCTAAAATACTTTTCAAGAAAAGTCCACAGGAAAAAACCTGCATGCGAAACTGAACAGACAACCCATGCCATGCTAATTCACATGTATTTAGCATGGCACATCAGACTATCATCCACAGTTGATATCAAACAAAGCCTATTTTTTTTCTAGCAAAAGTTTGTGTGGTGTGTAAAAATATTTTCAAAATTGTATGGATATCTAAAATATAAAAGTATACCAAGTTGTTTTTTGCATAAAAACTTTTCTTAATCTAATTGTGACTAATTTGTATCAATTACCTGCTGTTAAAGATAGATCAGTCAGAAAAATACAACTCAGCCTAGAGTAAAATTCATCTCCACCTTTATTTATTTAGACTTGTCGTTCATCTTCTGACACGTTTGCTTAATGACTGCTCATATGAAGTGTTTTATCAGACTTTCTGAAGGAATTTACAAATTTTCAAAGTCATTAAAATTATAAATATGAAGATAATAGCCTTTTTTTTGCCTGACTGAGGTGGGGGGGGGAGATAGTATAATGGCAGAAGTCACAGTCATGTGCATCTGTGGGCTAGACTGGTTTTTACCACCCGCCACTCTAATAGTCCGAGCTACAACCACGAGTGGATTCTTCATATTGCACTATATTAAGTAATTTTGATTTTGCCTGCTACAGTACACACAAAAAATTGTCCCACCAGATGTGACAGGGACATCCAAACAATTTTGTATGTGGAACAATTTATGGCCTCGTGGCTGTGTATTTGGCTGAAACATATTTTCATCCTAGGATGTGGGCTACATAATCACAGAAGCTGACTAAAGCAGCTTCCAGTGTGGACTTGTTTTGATATCTCATTGAATATAGCTTAACACGGGCTTCTAAGAGGTTAGTAAAGTTATTATTAGTGTCATAACTGTCATATTCAGTAGGGATTGTTCATGTTACAATCATGTTTTGTTAATTTATCTAACTATTAAGGGAGCAACATTCCACTGATAATCAGAATTTTGAAAGACTTAAGAGGTGCATTGATCATTCTCTAGTAAGATAATTTTTTTAAACAACTTTGAATTTGTCAGCACGATAAATTACACAGTATATAAAATAAATGTTTTTTCATTCTTATTTATACATTTAAAATAATTTTCTTATTTTCTGAAATTATTTTGCTACTCATATTTATACTTTTCTAGACCTACTTCTGCTATAAATGTCTTTCTTGACTGAAATAGTTGAAAGTAAGTGTTAGTTTTTTGACAGTAAATGTTTACTGTCTATCAACAGAAACATCTAATACTGAAGGAAGTTAAAAGAAAATATTGCACGTATACATATGTGTGGGACAGAATGTGTACTTGTAAATCATGAAAAGGCTCCTAAAACACAAATTATGAAATTAACCTACAATAAATAATAATTTTTGATCACAATGGAAGAACAATACTGCTGTTTTGATGAATGCCATTGTACTGGCACCTGCGAGCACCTGTAAGTGCTTTTTACAGCCCCTATCAATAAATGAAAATTCCTGCTGTTTTTGCATGTCACAAGAGAGATTTAGAAAGAATGAGAACAATTCAGTATGATCACATTTATAGGAAATAATCTTATGTCTCATATTTGCATTTCATGACAACACAAAGACTGTAACCTCTGAAGACCCGGTTGCTATGAGTACAGACACTGCTTTGATTGGCCTCTATATCAGCACAGTGATCTAACATGTTTGAACTATACTTTTGTCTGTGATACCATATAGCACATTTTAGATA